AAACAGTGGATTTGATGCATCGAATGAAGATGAGCATGTTAGTATACGACATGATGATCACATTTCGCACAAACCTTTTTTTAAAAGTAATGTACAACATTTAAAAACATCCAAAAACAAAACTACCAAATTTTTATGAAATACCTTACTTGACTGTAAATGAATATAAGTCTCAAGCATCTTGTGAAATCATGGCACCTGGTGTGCTGTCATTTTCAAGAAAAGTGGGACTTTTTGTATCAATTTCCAACGATGGTCGGCCGACCATCGTTGAAAAAAAAAACACCCGATTTTTGCTTCCAATACTGCCCCATTTTACCAAATTTAGTTAGTCCACATTTTGTTTGCGTGCAATCGGTTACACATCCGTGAACGGGTGCAAGCCAGCTAGTCTGGTTCCCTGACCCGACATATTCCCCTACGTCTATAAATGTCGGAGAACCAACCTATATAAAGAACAGCATTTGTTTCTTCTTTTTTCCAGCATCCATGAACACAAAACTTTCAGCAGGTCAGTGTAACAATGTTTGCTATAAAATACTTACCCCTAAATCCATCCATTTCTGAACATTACAGCAAACGCAAGGTTGTATATTACTTTAAGTTCGGTTCCCCGTGCTCTTCAACAAACACGATTTTTTTTGTATTAATAAATTTTCAACCTGTAGGCCTATGCTTAATTCCACCCCCCCCCCTTTTTCGGTCGGAAAGGGTTTTTGTTTTGGACACATATAGATCCGATTTTGGAGCAGACTGGCTCCCGATCAATACATTATCGACGCTGATTGTTGGGCGGGAACCAGCCTAACCCGCAAGAACAGTATTGTCTGGCAGCCAATGATTCGAAATTTTAGGCCCAATCCAATAACTAAACATGGACCATTTTTTTTTTATTTCGGTCGATGTCTCACTCAAAAGTGAGTAACGTTTGTACTATTGCTGCAGAAAAATAGCAACTTACAAAAGGCATCTATCTAGATGAAAATCAAAAAAAGCACCGTCAACCACTTTAACTTTTTTTCCTTAAAAGAGAAATGAAAACGTCTTCCACACCGTCTTTTTTTCTTAAACCGCGGTGCATGGTAACTTGTTGGCCTACAATGATAGTGGTGTAATGATTAATGATTAATGAAATACAGGAAATGGTGTTCACATGTACATTTCAACCGAGTGTAGTGTACTTATATTGTGACTTGCTTAATATCGGCCTCACACTTAAGTATGTTCCCAATTTTTCACAAAGAAGCCGCCAGCGCTAATAGCAAGAATTGCAAACAAAGCAACTGCTACGCACACTAATCACTCCGCGCTCACTTCTAAATAATGAATCTTATTACAAGCTATTTTCTCACCCTCAAAAAAAAAAACACGATTACTCCAAAACAAGCCACAACATTTGGGGAGCTTGAGACTTTTCAAAGTGAGCCGCGCTCTCGAAGACCATGTTTGTGGACTTAGCCAACCCAAAGGAAGTCCTTCGCACTTTTTTGGTGGTTTCGCGCTTCTTTTTTTGCGGGCAAGTCTCCGGGCGCCTGAAGACTGTACCGGCGGAAGGGAAGGGAACGAGACGGTAGACGGCGGGGCCGGCGCGGCGCGGGAGGGGACAAGAGAGAAGAGGACTCCGATATTTCGCCTGAGGAGGATAAACACCGGAGTGCGGTATTTGTACAGGAAAAGTAAATTTATATTCTCGCGGTGCACGCATGGTAGAACTCTTCACTTTTGGGGGATTTTTTTTTGGAGGTTGGCGCAGAAAACATGAAGACATGTTCAAGGGTGTGGTCTGGATTCGTGATGTTTGCTAACAACAGCCATAGTCAATTATTAACAGCAGAATAGACGAACATATCAGGGAAGCCGGGATGATCTCGAACTCTCTGGCCCCGGTTCGAATCCAGCCAATTGGCCGGCATCTAGATAACTCCCGTCTCTAAAAAAGTAAACAGTTTCTTCATTGCCCTCTGAGTGAACCAGCCTTCTTCATGCCTGATAGTTACAGTGCATTGGACACTTATGAGGAATCCTAAATTTTATTCGAAAAGGTAACAATACTCCTTATTAAACCATTTTTTTTTAAAAGACCGACGAATTATAACTGATTGCACAGTGGCAGTGGCGTAACCAAGAGGGTATCTGCCTCCCCCAGTCCCCACTTCCAGGCCTCCCCAAATGGGCAACTGTGTTCCCCAACTAAGCCGGAATATTTCCGCTGGAGGAAAAACCCACTAGGCCTACTGCGTATAGTTTGATTATAGGTCCATAAAGCTTCTTCATTTTCATGAAGTGTTAAATCAGCGACTGTCCAAGAGTCCATCTACCTTTGTTGGCGTGTTGCCAAGTGGTCTTCCTCCCCACAGGAACCACACAGCGGACGATGGGGAATACAACCCCTCCCCAAACCCAAACCCAACCCCATCCCAAAGTAAGGTGAAGCCATCGATGTACGACCGGCCGGCCAACGGTACTTGCGCTTCCTCCAATCCTCCCCCGCCTTTCGTCTAACGAAACAAAATGTTTACATGAATCATCGTTCAGCCGAGTCTCTTATCGATTTCTGCTGCTCAGCCTCAGATTTCAGCATGCAAGATGGGGGCGGGGTTAACGGGACGCCCCCAAAAATCAGCTGCGAAAAAAACAAAAAACAAATTGTGTGAACTTTTTCCGACTGTGCCACTTCACACATGCCGAACCGTCTCTCTTCTCTCCACAATTTACAAAGGAAAGTTGAAACGCAGAACTGAATTTGAAATAGTGCCATTAGTTGTTGTTTAGCTCTATCAGTGTTTGATCAACACAAGACTACTTTTATGTGCTCAACACCGCCCTCAATCCACTAACTTGGCGTGAGGGCGCCCTTCATTGAGACCGACACAAAAAAACGTGGCCATTAGTCGCTTTTATACTGAAAAGCGCTCCAATAATTATTTTTAATATTTAGCAAAATTGTCGCAATGCTTGTTGTTGGTTTTTTTTGGCATGAAACACTACTGGTTACCAGCAAAGCAGAAAAAATAAAAAAATGTTGCACAATTAATTTCTGGCTCTTTGCGAGAACAACGAACTATAATAGGCCTAAACAAGTTCATTGTTCTTGCAAAGTCTCGTGGGCTGTTTTGGTCACATTTCTTGTCTCAAATGTTAAATGTTCTCGGAAAGACGAAGACGCAAAGATGAATCACATTGATACATTTTTTAAAATGATATAACCCCGGAGCTCCTATTAGTTAACAAATAACAGGAAACTAGGATGTTTGTTCCTTCCCTCGTGATGTCAGAGTCAAATTCCCGAGTGAATTATTGAGGTATGGTTTGCCAAAATCCGGCCGTTATGGTCTGGTTTTCCGCGAGCCGTGTGCCAGACTACACGCACGCCCAGAGATATTTTGTATATAGTTGAAAGGTTGATTGTTTTTCCGCCGGAAAACAGGGTATCACATGAAAAACGGGGGGGTTTCGTCTTAATATCAACAGACATCATCCCACATACAAAACACAAGTCGATTTATGAACAGAAAAACAATGGTTCATTTCAGAGAAAACGGCTGAATGACCAAACAACTAAGACTGTTTGTTGCCCGCGATGTCTTGGCGACAACACCGGTGTGATGTGACGGAACTGAGCGTGTCGACGTCACACGCTTGCCCGGGGTTCATGTGACGATGAACGGTATAATCCCTGGGGTCGGGACACGGAACCCTGGAATCTTCAACACAAGTCCATATCAGTTACAATCCTTTGCGTAATACGGCGGAGCTACTGTCAATAAATCATTTTTCAGACAGTGATTTTTCTCTCTCCTCGTTATAAGAGTGGCAACGCGGGTAAATATTTTGGTAAACGTACACGTACACGGAAAAGAGTCAATATTTTGGCATGGAGTCTGAAATATTTAAGGAGACGACGCGTCCTGCTTCGGAAGGGAAGTAAAATGAAAATTTGGGGTACTGAGATTTGAGGTTTTAAAAGAAGCATGAACAACACCCGTACGCCAACAAAACCTTTCTCGATACGACTGTCATAAATCAGGGGAAAATATATAATACTCAAACATATCGGTAGAGGGCGTTCTCCCATGTTACCGTACTTGGAATGGATGGAAGGCCGAATTATTTCCCGACCTGCGAACAACGGCTTTAAAGTTCTGTAAATTTGTCTTGTTTTGCGGATTTCATTGCAATTTGTTTTTCCTAACAACAACAAAAACAATGGTTAAAAATAATGAGTTTTAATTAAGATTCGGTGATTAGGCCTAGTGATCAATGAATAATACGAAAAATATTCTATGAACAGCTGCAGAGATAGGTCACAATTAATGAAAATAAAATAATAACAGTTGGCGTTCCTTCTTATTCCTCCATGCTTGACCTATCCCCCACATTGCTTTGCTTTTTTCTATTACAATGTGTCAAAAAAACAGTACATTGTGATATTGAAGCTCAAGGTAAGATGACATCATAAATGAATTGTTAAAAACAATTGACACAGTACACAGTGAGTGACTTCGGAAAGAGACGTGAACCCAGCCAGCAGCCAGCAAAATCTCTCCCCAAAATACCTTAAAAGCGAAACTGTGCAATACTTTTTAGTTGTATTTTGAATTCAGTACAAACAATGTATGTTCCCTATCATACAATTAGCACCGCTATCGAATATATGCCATCCACGTCAGAAACATGAGAGGCGCGTTGCCCTTACCACGCCAGGCAGAAAATCGATTGGATCCAACCGAATTCTCGCCGGTCCCATCGCACGGAGATTGCAATCCTCGACAGATAGATTCCGAGTGGAGGAAATAATATACTGCTTGATGATGCAGGCAGCAGGAGCAGCTGCGACCACGTGACCTTTCAGCCGAGCTAAAAATAGCCAGGTGCGAGTACCTTGTGCGGATAATGACATGCATGAGAGATGCAGCCAGCCCATACCAATAACGTGTGATTGCTGCTAGTACGGGCGAGCCCTGCACGCAGAGCATATGTACAGCCGCCAAACGCAGTGATGCTTGGGTTGAGTGATGCTGCAAAACACGCCACATGAGTGTACATCATCATTTTCCATTTTCAGCAATCATCATCATCATCATCATTCTGTATACACGGATGCGCTGGAAGCCATTAGCTAGACGAGCCAATCTACATCTATGCTAAACACTGGCAGGTGAGTATAAAATGTTGTCTTTACGATTAGCCATGTGTATGATATCCTGAGTGGTGTCAACATTGATGGAGGAATTTATCGAAGGAGACTGCCATTATCGCACGCAGCGGGTTGCGAAAATGTGTATAGGCCAAGTATTTATAAACACTGCCAATTTCTGTCGCAGGAATTACAAAATAAATAAATTACATAATGATACACATACAAACACCAGACAGAAGAATTGCATTTCTGTGAAAAGCAAGACACATCGTTATTAAAAAGGGTCAGCATTTTTATTACATGAATGTGATATAATTAATAACATTAGATAACTATGGTGATCTAATTATGCCACCTACACATTCATGGACATTTCAGTGAGAGACTGGATAAAACCGACACAGACTTGACAGATGAAATCGTAAATTCCATGCGAATTTAAGAGAATCGGCTGTTTTTAGGGTATGAAATATGAGCCATTATGTTTAGGCAATTCCAGTGGTGGATTGGTATTAAAGCAAAGGCTTTGAACGCAGTTTGATATAAGCATTATAAAGATATAAATGAAATACACAAAAATATTGTTATATCCAACCAGAGCAGAAAAATACTTCCTAATAAAATTGTTTATTTTATTAAATCATCATAGTCATCATCATAACTGTTCGTACATTAACATTCATTCCATCACATTATGCATTCAGATCACGAAAATTAACAATCCTGCGAGAATGTAATGATTTATTTATTTGTTTTTTCCACTGAAAAATCAATGAAATAGAATTTCACTGGTTTGTATTGATTATATATACCTATAACATATTGCAACATTCGTTATTTATATAAAGAAAGAAACAGTTTTCAAATTTGTGTAAGGATATTTTTGATAGATATCTTTTCCATGTGCTCAGAGCGTGGCTTTTCAAACCTAAATATTTCTACCATCTCAAACATTCTGACATGATTTTCCCCCCTTTTTTCGGGCATTATTTCTGCTACTTTTCACTGCTCTTATTGTAAGCATTTGTACAGTTTGTTCCAATATGAATTCTGCTTGTAAAACGAACTGGTGTACAGAGCGCTTTGGAGGTTTATTCAAATGCGGTATGTGATATTAAAAACTGAGAAGACATGATTAAATTGAGTTCGAATTATGGCTCATTACTTCTTTTTTCCCGAATTGTATAGATTATTAAATTGTTATACAGGGTGATAAAAAAAAACCTGCAATAATGCAATGGATCCATCTTTTTTTCGAAACCAAGTTAAAGTTTTTTTATTTTAATTTTTAAGCATGACATATTCGTTCAGTAACCTTCTGTGAAAAAAATGAAGTTAATTGCATTTACCGTTTGTCTTTTGTGAACCTTTTTACTGCGGTACCCGATTTACGTTTTTGTCCACGAGGCATCAGAATTTTGCATAAGAGCGGAAACGGTGCAATAACGACAAGTTAGAGACAACACAGATTTATAAGCGACTGAACCTTAGCGCCAAGCTTTATTTTTCTGTTTCACTTCTTTGTGTTTATGCAACGTTTCTCTGGGCTATACCGTAGTTACTGTGTCCTTCATTGTTCACACAATCGCAGCTCTGCCCTCGACTTGGCAACTCTGCAAGGCAATGCATGTCTCAGCTCTAGACCTCATGGAAAGAACGGCTCTGGGGACACATTTTGCAATTTTTAGACGCCTCGTGGACAAAAACGTAAATCGGTAAAAAAAAAGTTCACAAGAGACAAACGGTAAATGCGATTAACTTCATTTTTTTCACACAAGGTTACTAACAAATATGTTATTGTTACAAAGTTTTAAAAATTCAAAATTTTCAAGTAATTTGATCCTTAACATGGTCTCTAAACAAAGGGTGGTGGCGCCCTTCCCTCCTGTCGGCAGACTGCCAACAGACACTATCATGCTGCACGGACGCTTCAGTACAGTCGGGGTTTTTTTTGGGGGGGGGGAGGGTTGGTCAGTTATAATTCTCAGGGTCTTCATCGACATGCAGCATGCGGTGGCCGAAGTGTAAATTTTCTTAACTAAAGGCAAAATTCCCGATAGCAATGACACTTAAGTGAATGAACTAATTCACTGAGTCAAAACAAATCCAAACCGTTTCCTGATAAAGAAACGATGACGGTGGTCGGGCCGTGCGAAGAGCGCATGTGCGCGCAGGCGCGTTGGTTTCATTTCCAACCAATAAAATCATTGCGCATGCTCACGCGTGCGTATTAAGCATCGAGGGTAAATTCAGGGAATTTTTTTTTTGCCTGTAACGAAGTACTAAAAAAAAAAAAAAGCCGACCCACTCAGACGTGTTGCTAATTTGATTTCGGTGGACGTTTTGCCCGTGGGAAACGGAATACATCGCGTGGTTAATTTCCAAGCGACAGAAATTCAGCTGCCCGATGAAATGAAAACAGTAAGGGAAAAAAAGTGAATTTTTTTTTCGAGTCCAGAGAAGCATGAGATGTCGACGCAGGAATTCGCCCGGGGCGAAATCATCTGATATCCTGTTTTCGTTGTGAGATCATCTTGCATATTTTTGGCAAACCTTAAAGTATTATACTGAATCACTGCATGCCTCATTTATAATCAGGCGAACGTGATGTGTACATGCATTTTTGGTTTGATTTAAATCTGTAAATTGTTTTAGTTTGAAATTTTTTTTCGTTAATGAAATGTCTGCCATGATTAAATTATAAGGCTAAGTTAAAATAAACCTAGAATAAACTAAATGAGCATGATCTAAAAAAAAATAATAATAACATGTCCTGGAAGTTTCACATTAGCATCTGACATTCAAATGCCTTGACATTCACAATTTGCATAATCTACACACACACAAATTAGTTGTAAAAAAACACACACACACACATATGTTTATGGTGTAAATCGAGGATTTGTTATTGTTTCTCATCATCGACCTTTTGTTCACACTTTAACTTTTTTGCAACAGCTCCCATTGGTTTTGTACACGTTTTCTAATCGAGGACGTCCTCGTTTTGACTCCTGTCCTCAATTACATAAGGCCTGTTTCACATGTGTGTCCTCGATTTACACCATAAACAAACCCACACATACACAGGTTTTTTATGGTGTAAATCGAGGATTGTATATTGTTCCTCACCATCGATCTTTTGTTTATACTCTTTAACTTTTTTGGCAACAGCTCCCATTGGTTTTGTACACGTTTTCTAATCGAGGACGTCCTCGATTTGACTCCTGTCCTCAATTACTCGATGATGCTTCACATGTGTGTCCTCGAATTACACCATACACATGCACCCATACACACCCATGCCAACATTACATACCTATGGGGTGGACATACCTTTGTATTCGTGTAGTTAAGAAAAACTCATTTTACTTGCACTGTGAACACCTTTTCAACCCAATTTTTTTAATCACGATTTCTTGAGTGTTTCTCTTCATTTTGCGACCAATAAATCTTACCCAAAAGAGCCTCTAAACCTGTTTTCCAGAGAGGGTAAAACCATGTGTGGACCTGGCTTAGTCCACAGAAGGTTCACACAACCCGCATCGTGTGGACCTGTTTTGTTTTCAGGTCCGCACAAAGATGGCAAGGTTGGCACTCACAAACACAATGCAAGATGGCCGATTTCAGGATTTACTCGTTAGCTGCTTTTGTTTTTCTCCGATAACCTAGCTTTACACATCAGAAAACTAATTGATTGAGTCGGTCAAACTTGAAAGATACAAGTCAGATTCCATTTCCCGTCTGCCGTCACTGTTATCGAATTAGAAATTCTCTGTGCTCGGTAGCAGTCATTGAAAAACATGTCCAGCAGAAAATCTGTCCGACTCGAGAGCCGAGTAAATTTGATAAATGAAAAGGGCATCCGCGTCTGTTATAAATGCCAGCGCTGCTTGTTCCGTATACGTCATGGAGTGCTTGCTACGAACCGTACTTTTACTTGAAGAAAAACATTTAAAACTCCATTTTTTTAATAATAATTATATATATTTAATATTTTTCATTGAACATTCTGTGAATTATAATGTTTTGGCAAATTAGTTCTACAGCTTTTGCCGATTTTTCATTGAACATTCTGTGAATTATAATGTTTTGGCAAATTAGTTCTACAGCTTTTGCCGATTAACTTTTTTGAGAATATTATCCAAAAATATCCATGGAACACTCGTTATTTTTTTAAACTTCGCATGCGCTTTAGAGACAGGGGATGATTGACCATTCCGATATACACGTATCAGATATATTTTTAAAGGCACTTTACACTCAAAGGGCCCTCTAGTGACAGCCTGCAGATAGTTTAAAGCAAAAAAAAAATCCAGTTTTTAGTATCGATATTCCTTTCATTTCTGGCGAATATAGCAAACGATTTGATCATGCCACAATTTCAGTGTCTATACAACCGAGTCGGGGAAAGAAAAAAATAGTACATGTAGTTTGCAGTCGAGAATGTAAAGGGGAGAGGGGGTTGCAACCCTCCCCTCCGGCCTCCCCTCCCCCTCACCCTACCCCCCCCCCCCTCCCCCACCCCACCCCACCCCCGTCCAGCCGCTGACTAATGTTATGATACCGTCATGGGGCCAAAAATAAACATGGAATGGTAAAGTCCCTACATATATTCTCAAAATGCATTGTCTAATTATATCAAATTTTTCCGGGGGCATGCCCTCGGACCCCCTAGCAGGGGGTGCCTTCATCACTCACCCCCACCCTTTATATCACCCCCCCCCCCTTAATATCACCACCATCACCCACCCACCCCCGCCCCCTTTTCCGAAAGCTATAGGCCTAGATCCACCCGTGTTTTGGTTTATATGCAGCATACTTCGTTTCGTCATGCCATAGTAAGATTTTTTTTTCTCCCGTTTTGAGCAATGATTCTAATAACTGATAATTAATTGACATATTGCTTTCGACAGGTCGAACCAGATTTGGAAAAATCACCATGGCTAGTTGGGCGCTATTTCTACTGGCTGCTCTACCGTTTGCATATTGTGGTGAGTGTACAGTATAGGCCTATAACAATATTATAGTTCTATTTTACGGTGATTTGAATAGGCATGCCATATTATAATGTGGTTGGGGGATATAATATAGTTTGCTTTCAAGGTGTAACATCCAACAATAAAAAAAAAAACAATCACCGATTTAATCATTGATCGCCAGCGACCATAAAATAGTCGGCCGACCATCGCATCTCATCGCGTCTCATTCACTATTATGAAACATTTGACATATAATGAGAAAAAAAAATGTAAATGCACAATATAATATGAAGGTCTATACAGCAGCGTTAAGATTTTAGTGTAAATTGCCGCGCTGTGATCCACAGACCTGCACTGATGGAGAATGCTGACAAAATGATAACATGCATTTTCCCATCAAAATGGCCAGTGTGTTTACCGTGCAAACACCGTACCCGTCTTCGTTGCCCTTGATGAAGGCGACATACTAATTACAAGGCGCGACTCGTTTTTTTGCATTAAATACATCGACTCGTCCTCACACATACCCGAGACTAATGCTCACGAGTGAAGCCAAATGGAAAATGCTTGCGCCACGGTATGTACACAATTGCCTGGGTCTAAGGGGGTGCAGACCAGTAAATAGGCCCAAAATTGCCCAACACGCGGGCCAAATCAAGATTTGTATGCCCAGATTTTTTTTGCTATTGGAGCAATTTGTGGGCCATGAACTTGAAGGTTTAAAAAAAAAAAAAAAGATGAGTGGACGCCGTGCACAGGACTGCGAGCTCGTGTTTCTGTGAAATTCGGATGAAATTGGGCCCTAAAATTGCTCTTTTTTGCAATGGAGCGCGGGCATCATTTTCAAAATGGCGATTGGCAACAGGACTTCATGTACTTTTAGGGGTGATCGTCTTTGGATAGAAGTTTCTCCCAAAAGTCATCGGATTACCACCAAAAATTTAAAGAGAATCTAAAAGATGGTGGAATAAGCTTTAATGTGATGGGGGTTTTAAACACCTCGGAGAGTTACGATTATGTTTTAACAACTTTTGGAAGTGCGCGTAATTATCACTGATATGGGAATCTTCACCTATAGGGGCTGAATGTCAAAAATGGCCCGTGCGAAATATAGTCTGGTGACCAGACAAAAGATTCTGAAGATTAATGTCAGAATAGTGAATTTTACATACATGATGCAAAATATATTTTATATATATAATTTCTGTATAGAAAAAAAGTTTCGTATACTTTCAAACGCCTCTATTATGTTAATTATTCTGAAAAATTAACATTCGAATGATATTCTCAATAATTAACATTCGAATGAAGGGATCAGGAACCGTACCAAGTCATTAAGGCCCCGCCCACTGCGCAAGTGCGCAACGTCACGTGCGCCTTCCAATGCTATACGCACGTCAGAATTTGATCGCGGCTGTGATTGGTCCAAAACAGCACGGGGCGGGGCTTAGTGGATCAGTGCAATGTGTTACGAAGTTGCGTTTTCGGCTGTAGGCCTATGAACAGTATAAGTTCCCTGTTATGTCGAAATATAACTCAATACCAAACAAAAGGAGTGAAAGTGAGAACAAAATCCCCACGTGCGCCTTTTAAAGCAATACGCATGTCGGAATTTGATTACGGCTGTGATTGGTCCGAAACAGCACGGAGCTATGGCGTGTCAAACGTTGCAATATTCAATATTTTGCAATATATATGTTGGATGTTCAATATGTGTTTGTTATCTTTTACATTTATGTGCGATGTTCAATAAAAGTGTGCGATATTTTTCATTATTTGCGCGATGTTAAATATATTTGTGCGATGTTTTACAATATATGTGCGATGTTTTTAGCAAAATTGGGCAAAATCAGATGTTTCTGAAAAATTTCAGATGTAAGGGGGTTAACCTTGCTTTTTTAGCAAAGTTGGGCAAATTTGAATGTGCATGAAAAATTTCAAATTGTTAAGGGTTAACCTTGCATTTTTTTGCAAAATACGGCAAAACCAGGTGTTCATAAAAAAATATCAGATTGTAAAGGGTTCACTTCGCATTTTAAGCAAAATTGGGAAAAATCAGATTTGTATGAAAAATCAAAAATTGTAAGGGGTTAACCTTTGCCCAATGAGGGAAAAATCAGATGTTTCTGGAAAATTGCAGATTGAAAGGGGTAAACCTTGCATTTTAAGCAAAATTGGGCAAAATGAGATTTTTATGAAAAATCTCAAATTGTCAGTGGTTAACCTTGCATATATTAGCAAAATTGGGCAAAATCAGATGTTTCTGAAAAAATCCGATGTAAGGAATTAACCTTACTTCTTCTTTTTTCGTGAAATTTGGCATAGTTAGATATTAATGAAAAATCTCAAATTGTAAGGGGTGAACCTTGTATTTTTAGCGAAATTGGGCAAAATCAGATCGTTCTGGAAAATTTCAGATCGTAAGGGGTTAACCTTGCTTTTTTAGAGATATTTGGCAAAATAAGATGAGATTGAAACATTTCAAACTGTAAGGGGTTAATCTTGCTTTTTTTGTAAAATTGGGCAAATTTAAATGTTTATGAACAATTTAAAATTGTCAGTGGTTAACCGTGCATTTTTTAGCAAAATAGGGCTAAATCAGATGTTTCTGGAAAATTTCAGATGTAAGGGATTATCCTTGCTTTTTTAGTGAAATTTGGCATAGTTAGATATTTATGAAAAATCTCAAATTGTAAGGGGTGAACCTTGTATTTTTAGCGAAATTGGGCAAAATCAGATCGTTCTGGAAAATTTCAGATTGTAAGGGGTTAACCTTGCTGTTTTAGTAATATTTGGCAAAATAAGATGTGAATGAAAAATTTCAAATTGTAAGGGGTTCACCTTGCTTTTTTAGTAAAATTGGGCAAATTTAAATGTTTATGAAAAATCTCAAACTGTAAAGGGTGAACCTTGAAATTTTTCATACACATCTTATTTTGCCAAATTTTACTACAAAAGCAAGGTTAACCCCTTACAATCTGAAATTTTCCAGAAAGATCTGATTTTACCCAATTTTCCCTAAAAAAGGCAAGATTAACCACTTACAATTTGAAATTTTTCATAAACATCTAAATTTTACTAAAAATGCAAGGTTAACCCCTTACAAGCTGCAATTTTCCAGAAACATCTGATTTTTCCCAATTTTGCTAAAATGTAAGGTTAACCCTTTGCAAACTGTTAAATCAATACATGAAGTGTCCCATTTGACTTTTTTAAAACAAATTATTTTTCCAGTTTTTAGGGAAAAGGAATGTTCTCTTTTTCCTTTCTCTTTTGTTGTTGCTATATTTTGCGAATTAAATCATTTGTATGGAATGCTCATAGTCAATCACAGAATATTTCACACATAGGGGCCTAGATTATATTTTTTTTAATTTAATAGAGACGCATTGATCGTGCTATCATATACCATTCTATTATTAGCCCTATTTTGCTAAAAAATGCACGGTTAACCACTGACAATTTTAAATTGTTCATAAACATTTAAATGTTCCCAATTTTACTAAAAAAGCAAGGTTGACACCTTACAACTTGAAATTTTTCATACACATCTTATTTTGCCAAATTTTACTACAAAAGCAAGGTTAACCCCTTACAATCTGAAATTTTCCAGAAAGATCTGATTTTGCCCAATTTTCCCTAAAAAAGGCAAGATTAACCACTTACAATTTGAAATTTTTCATAAACATCTAAATTGTACTAAAAATGCAAGGTTAACCCCTTACAAGCTGCAATTTTCCAGAAACATCTGATTTTTCCCAATTTTGCTAAAATGTAAGGTTAACCCTTTGCAAACTGTTAAATCAATACATGAAGTGTCCCATTTGACTTTTTTAAAACAAATTATTTTTCCAGTTTTTAGGGTAAAGGAATGTTCTCTTTTTCCTTTCTCTTTTGTTGTTGCTATATTTTGCGAATTAAATCATTTGTATGGAATGCTCATAGTCAATCACAGAATATTTCACACATAGGGGCCTAGATTATATTTTTTAAATTTAATAGAGACGCATTGATCGTGCTATCATATACCATTCTATTACTATTGCGAATTACTGTATTTTTTGGAATGTTCACAATTAAAAACACGTTATTTGAAAGATGTATAGATAATATATATATTACAATGTACATCTTTATTCTTTCCCGGTATAATTGATGGCGTTTCTTACGTCAATTGGCAATCGCGTCATTATATAATGATAGTCAAATTGATCAAACGAAACTCCGTTTTGATTATAGTCAATTATGAAATATTCATTGATTTATGACATACACCTTTGTTTCAATTTTGATACTACCCGTAGACCTGCCGAGCAGCTGTAGATATCAAACTAAACCAAAGTATAAAAGATAGAGGGTAAAAAAAAATCAAAAAGTTATGTGCTAGTCAAGCTTTCAGGGATCGGTCTGAGCCATAACAATGCCCCAGCCGATCCCTTAGTTCTCTTCCGGGGTCTCGGCGTCCCCGACCAATACACACTTCCTTCCCTATCCATCCATATAACCCCGGAGGGCCAGGCACCATGTAAAAGCAAAGAGCTAAGGGAGGAACAGGGCGGCCCCTAAGCCCTGATCCTCCGAGTGGACCACATGCCCTGAACCTGTACGAAGGCGCCAACCTGGAACTCGCGGACAGTACCAGCAGCAGTGCTTACCGATTAAGCTAAGGTACTGTTGGTACTTTACGACGGGAAATTAAATCTCTTATAGTGAATAATTGAACTCATACGTTAAAAACCAAAAAGACACCAGCGGGATTCGAACCCGGGACCCCGCTAACCGTGGACGACGAATCGTAACCGCTCGGCCAATTCGTTACCTTAGAATTTTCCTTAAACTGAGAAAAGTTGTCTTTATAGGTGAGCAAACGCGCCAGGAAGATTACTGGGTCCATTTGCTTTACCTTAATGGGTAAAAACAAGTCGATATAATGAGCCCAGTTTGTTTGGTTTGTTAGGAAGCTGCATAACACAGCCTATTGTGCAAAACAGTCGTGTGCTAGGCGGTTCATT